CATTCATGACATAAGTAATAGTAGTAGTAATTGAGCGACTAGTCTAATGTAGTAAAATTCTGGAGAATTTCAATTTTAGTTATTTAAAGTAGTAGCAGCAGTAGTGGGAGTAGCAACAACGATAACAGTAACAGTAGTAGTGGTGGTGGTGGTGTAGTAGTAATAGTTGCAGTTAGGAGGCTTCTAGCTCGAGGGCTGTTTGTTTATCGCGTTGGAGTTATCTGGTTGCGACAATGAACGCTGCCGATGATGCTGCTGCTGCTGCTACGTCAAGTGTGCGTCATATACAACAAAGGAAAATGATGACGGTGACGACGACGACGATGAGGGTGTGATGATGGTGATAGTGAAGTAGAAGAAGAAGATAATGATGATGGTGAAGAAGAAAAAGATAATGATGATGATGATAATGATGATGATAATGATGACACAATGCTTTTTGATAGCTAATAGCTTATGACGGTGTAATTTGATGAAAAATATCACTTGCGATCTACATTTGTCAAGGTAATTTTATTCATTTATTTTCTTTCTTCAATATTCGTCCACCCTCTCATTTATTCGTTCAGTCGTTCATCTTTTGGTTCGTTCATTCGATCATTCATTTAATCGTTCGTTCATTTGGTTGTTTGTCCGTACATCAGTTCGTTCGTTCGTTTGTTCGTTCGTTTTGTTTGTTTGTTCTTTTTCTATTATCTTCACATGAATTATTTATATTATTTTTAAAATTTGACTAAAAATTGAGAAGCTTAAAACTAGATAATGTACAGATGTAACGTTAATGTTTGCTTGTTCGTTCATTCATTCATTCATTCATTTGTTCCTTTTTTTCTCTTTCTCTTTCTTTCTTTCCCTCTCTTTCTCTTGATCATTTAGATGTTCATGCAAATTAATTCCATTGTCATTTGAGGGCGTGATATTCTCAATTTGGAAAGAGTACAAGCATTTTTTTCATTTACTCATTCATTAGTTCCATCAATCTTTTTTCAATATGAAAAATACAACTTGTTTGTTTGTAAGTTTGTATGTATGTATGTTTGTTCGTTTGTTTGTATATATATTTTGCATGAGCTTTGTATGTTTGTATGATTTTTTTTCGTTTTTTTTTTGATGTTTTGTTTTGAATTGTATTTTTGAAAAAAAAATTTTGTTCTATTTTTTTTGGTTCATACATTTGCCTCAATAAATATATATAAGCCAATTTATCTAAATATTTAATCAACAAATGCATTAAAACAGTCATTAAAGAATTAATGCACTTATTCATTCATTCGTACATTCAATCATTCATTCATTCGTACATTCTGTCATCTATTTATCCATCCATCCATCCATCCATCCATCCATCCATCCATTTATTCATACGATTTACAGTGTTTCCAATATTTGAGTAAGAAATTGAAGAAAGAATACAATCTCAAAGGTCAAAAGGTCAACTATAGATATTATATATATATATATATGTGTGTGTGTGTGTGCGTGTGCGTGTCTGTGTGTGTGCGTGTCTGTGTGTGTGCGTGTGCCTTTTTCTTACAGCTGGAGATATTTAATTGCATTTCCGATTTGAATTTTAATCGTCCGTGGCGGGTCAGCCCATCACTAAATATAGATGATCTTTGGTTTCATATTTATAGTTTATTTATTGTTTTTGGTTTAATTTTGATTTCTGCGGCTGTGTGTGTGCGTGTGAGTGTGTGATCTTCAGTGTGGAATGGAAGCTTTGTATGTCCTTGTTTGGTATGAAAGGCAAAATGTGTTTCTACAACATTATGCTGCTGTTGTCGTTGTTATGTGTGTGTTGTGTGTTTGTTGTTGCTTGGTGATTTCTTTTGTTATCATCATCATCAACATCATCACCCCACCATCATCATCATTATCATCATCATCATCATCACCTTCATACTGAAGGGTGACATGGGAACAATCGGTCCGCCCGGAAAGTCATGTGATAAGGTTGACAGCAATTAATAATAATGATAATAATAATAACAAGAACATTTTATTCATTTATTCTTTTATTAATTGATTCGTTTGTCCGTTCGTTCGTTCGTTCATTCATCCATTTATTTATCGGTAATTATTTTGCTTGTTTATTCGTTCGTTCTTTTGTTTGTTCGTTCTTCTGTTCGTTCGTTCGTTCATTTGTTTGTTCGTTCGTTCGTTCGTTCTTCATTCATTCATTCCTTCAGTCATGCATTAACACATTTATTTATCCAATCATGCCTCCATTCATTCGCTCAATTATTCATTCTCTCTATCATTGAAATGAAGGAGTGCACCGGCCTGAAAGGGGACAAAGGAGATCCTGGAACAGCTGATCCAGAGCTTATGGTGATAATGATAATGATGATGATGATGAATGGAGTGGTGGCGATGATGATGATGACGAATGGAGTAGCGATTATGATGACGACGATGATGATAGTGATGATGTATTCAGTCGCCAGTTGAGTAAGATAGCCTCTATGATCATTATATTATAATATATTAGGAATGACAATGATGGTGATGATAAAGATACAATGATAACTGGAATGATGATAAAATTATAACGATTATAGAAATACACTGATATTGGTTCAATAATGACTATTATGATGACGACGATGATGATGACGACGATGATGATGACGATGATGATGACGACGATGATGATGACGACGATGATGACGATACAATAATGATGATGATGATGACGATAGTAATGATAGAACGATGATGGTGATGATACAATGATGAAGTTTGCGAAGACGATGATGATGATGTTGATGAACGTAATCTTTTCAGAGGAATCTCGTTAGAAATATAACTTACTTGCTACCGCGTTAGTGAGATAAAAAGTATCATCATCATCATCATCGTCTACATCATCATCATCATCATCATCATCATCATCATCATCATCATCATCATAGTCACCATCATCATCATCGTCATCATCCCCATCATCATCATCATCATCATCATTACCGCGTCTACTTTTAGCAACAGGATCATCATCATCGTCGTTGTTATATCTTCTACCGTCAGTTTATTGGTGTCATCATTATCAAATATGCATAGAACAATGACTTCCTACTACTAAATAATAATAATAATAATAATAATAATGATAATAATAATAATAATCATTGTCATATTATTATGATTATTATTTGGTTCTTTTTAATCGCTCTTCATTATCACCATCATCATCATCATATCGTTCGTCATCATACATTACCAGAGTTTTAATCATCGTCATCATCGCCTTTTTTTTATCACGATAATCATCATCATCACTATCGCAATCGTCATCATTGTCATTATTTCATCATCTTCATCGTCATCATCATCGTCGTCATCATCACATCATCTTCGTCGTCATCGTCATCAGCCATGAAAGGATCAAAAGGAGCAATTGGACCTCAGGGAATACCAGGGGTTCCGGGAAAACACGGAAGTCCGGGTGAAAAAGTGAATTTTTGCCATTTTTATAATAATAATTAATAATAATAATAATTATTATTATTATTACTATTATTATAAGATCAGAAGATCAGAATTACAGCAGATTGACAGTAAAACCAGAAAATTTCTGACTTTTAAAAAGAGGAGTAGCACATCATCCGAATGCTGATGTTGATCGATTGTATTTCAACGGAAACGAAGTGGGTAGGGGGCCAATAGGAATTGAAGATTCTTTCGGAAAAGCAATTATAGTCCTTAACGAGTACCTACATTCTCAACAGACAGGATAGATTGATTGAAATAATCGCAAAAGATGATGAGAGTAAAAAGAAATATTCAATTTCTAGAGAAGTAAACAAAATTAAAAATCGTCATTTTATAGACAAAGATGTAAGCGAACAGAACTTAAAAAACTTTTGAAAAATTATATCATGTGATAAAGTACAAAGATAAACAACTGCGTAGCCAATTTTTTAACTATATAAATGAACCAGGAATAGATTTGATAAAAACATAGGGATGGTTAAAAAGTTTAGAATTGATTGTTGAAACCAAAAGCATTTTAATAGCTGCACATGATCAGGCGGGTATTAAACATTAGATACTTTCACATAAGAGAGTACACAAACTGAATGCTGACGGTCTATGTAGAATGTGTCACAAATATGTTAAAAGCATCAGCCATGTGATCTCTGGATGTCCTGTATTGGCATCAACTGAATATACAAAGAGACACGATCGAGATGTGAGCTATATTCACTAGGTGATGAGTAGATGTATTGGATTAGAGGCATGTGTAGGATACTATAAGTACAAAAATCTTAAAATTGAGATAAAAAGAATGTGGAACTCAAAAGCTGAAATTATTCCTCTAATAGTGGGAGTAGTTTCAAAAAATCTCGATAAAGTTTTGAAAGAATTTCCAAAAAAACCGGCTCTGGCTGAAATTAAAAAATTTAGCATTGTTTGTAAGGGCGAGCGTGATAAAAAAAATTCTCGGATGAATCTCCATGGGATCTTGCTGAACCCTGGACCAGTTTTAAACAAGCTATGAAAATTGGGGATGATAATAAGAATAGTAATTATAAGAAATTACAAAAAATAACCATTTAAAAATATACTAGGGTGCCAAAGGTGATGTGGGTGTTAAAGGAGAGCCCGGAGAGGTCGTTGAACGTGTTGTCGAGGGACCGATGGGACCTACCGGACCTCCTGGACCCCCTGTGAGTGATGATGATGATGATGAAAACGACGACGATGATAATGATGATGATAGTTGTAATAATTACGGTGGTGGTTTCGATAGTAATGATGATTGGTGATCCTTCCAATCATTGAAACTATCATAACGTGATAACGATGATAACATGATATGGTAATGTTGATCATATTGATGACGACGACGATGATGACGACGACAACGACGATGATGATAATAGTATCAATTTTAAACAGGGGCCTCGCGGTCTTCCAGGGTCATCATCATCATCATCTTCCTCTTCTTCGTCATCGTCATCAGGAGTCGTATGTTTATTGTTTTAAAGTATTGATAAACACGAGAATGATCATTCCCACTTAGTTATTTTTTTATATCATGAATAGATTATATCTATATCATCTATGTATCAGTTGTTTATAATTTTCCCGCTTTTGAGATACTTTTATTTAAAAAAAGTGCTACAGATATGGTTTTCATATTTTAATGAAATTTTTATCATCATCGTTGTTGAAATTTTCGATCTAGTCCCATATCTGACTTAGAAAGAAGCTGAACTTTATGCAAAATGCAAAATTACAATTAAAAATGCAGTGAAATAAAAAAAAACTAACATTACGTCATCAGTTCATCTCAATAACGTCATCACATCATGACCATGCCACAGCAATCCAACTTAGTTACATTTACTGATTTCTCGAGTTTGCACCACACGGCCCCCTATCTGCCCGCTGGTACCCTCATGTACCTCATAGGGACCAATCCGCGAGATGATGATCTCTACTTAAGAAGAAAAAACGGATACAGCCTTGTTCTGGTTGAAAGAGTTTTTATTGTTTATGTAATATGTGTCTGTGTGTGTGTATGTGTGTGTGTGTGTGTGTGTATGTGTGTGTAGGATGGTCTAATGATAACATGCCTGTGTCATGTCATAATACAGTGTCTGCTTTTGAATTCAAAGAGATTTTGTCATATTGTTCGAGTGTTTTTTCGTGTGGTATAGGTATATTCCGTTTTAGTGTGTATGTGTGTTTGTGTGAGAAAAAGTGTGTGTGTGTGTTTGTGTGGGAGAGATTGTGTGTGTGTGTGTGTTTGTGTATGTTAGTGGAAAATTGATTCCATGCGCTTAATCATATCACCGGTTGAGCGCTATATTTATGACGCATTATTATTGTTTTTTTGTATAAATTTTTTCCCATTATCATTTTCGTCATATATATTTTAGTAAAAACTCTATATTCAATTACATTGCGAATAAATAAAGTCTTGTATGTGTGTGTGTGTGTGTGTGTGTGTGTGTGTGTTGAATATATTTCGCAGATAATTTATGTCATCGTCATCTACATCATCATAATCTTCACCACAATCATTATCATCTTCACCATTATCATCTTCATCATCATCATCATCTTCGTCATTATTTCCACCATCATCATCACCACCACCACCATCACCACCACCGCCATCATCACCACCACCACCACCATCATCACCACCACCATCATCACCATCACCATCATCATTAGATGGATAAAAGGGTACGTCATTTCCCAGCGACGACTACTCAAAAACCGGTTTGTCGTCATGATGATGATGATGATGATGAAGATGGTGGTGATAATGATGATGAAGAAAAAGATGATGATGATTATGATTGTCGTCATGATGATGATGATGATGGCATTAATGTCGTTACGATGATAATGATGACGTAGATGAATGACAAAAAAAACTAAAAGAATCTGATTTTATTTAGCAAGATAGCTCAGATGATAAGTGAGTCGTGTGTTATAGCGCACCTACCTACTTCAAATGCAAACCGTGCAGTGTTTAACAAACAATATACATTTGCAAACATCACATGGCGTTAAGGTTGCCATATAAATGTTACAAAGATGATAAAAAAGATGAAGAAGAAAGAGATGAGAAGGATGATGAACATGAAGATGGTGAAGAAAGAATGATGAACTTACTGATAAATGATAACGTGCTTGAAATAATGCAAATCTATCAAAGGAAGAAACTCTATAGACACCCCTGCGTTTGTCGGGGCGAAATGATGACAAGAATGTATCGATGGCTATTCTGTTTCATCATATGTGTTTATAACTATACCAACAACAACAATAATAATAATAATAATTATTATTATTATAATTATACAATATATATTTATATATATTTGATGATATTATTATCATTATCACAATCGTCATCAGAGCGATGATGAAGATCCCCACTACAATCGTCATCATTTTAATTTTTCATACGAGCCAGCGTATGTTGATGAGGCACGAGGGACGAATGATTTAAACAACATTGAAAAAATATACATACTAATGTGCATAAGTACAAACAATGCGAACATACATACATACACATATACATACATACAAAGAGATAAAACGTAATAATTATATGGGTTTTCAGTGCATTATATTAAAGATTCATGTATATATATGTATATGTATGTAGAATTTGCCTGTAGTTTTGGGCTGCTGACATTTATGTATGTCTTTGTGCATATATGTGTATTTATGTTTGTATGTATGCATGTTTTATGTATGTACATGTAAATGTTTGTTTGTATGTATGTATGTATATTTTCATGTTTGTTTGTTTGTATATACGTATACATGTATGTATGTATGTTCATTAACATACACACTTTGGTATATATTTGTACGTGATATCAATTAACAAATGACCAAAACAAAAAAACGCACAACAAAAAACAAACAAACAAACGTACGAAACAAACAATAAAACAAGCAAACATACAAAACAAACAAGCAAACATACAAAACAAACAAGCAAACATACAAAACAAACAAGCAAGCATACAAAACAAACAAACGAAACAAACAAACCGAAAATTTCCAGCCTTCAACGACTCCCAGTACAAAAATCCACCACATCCACTTGATCGCCGCAAACCACCCCCTTTCTGGAGATATGGATGGGATAAGTGGAGCGGATTCCATCTGTTACAAGGAGTCAAAAAAATTTGGGTGGCCCAATACATTTAAGGCTTTTCTGTCATCCAGATGGCAAGATTTAAGGGGTCTTATTAAGCAGGGAAAGAACGATTATGTAACCGTCTTGAATGGAAAGGTTTGTGTGTGTGTTTGTTTCTGTGTGTGTGCGTGTGTGTATGTGTAAGTTGGCAAGTTTTTCAAATCAAAAATTAAAATATTTCTTCTCAGGTTTTAATGAGTTTTTTGTTACAATAAGTAACGGATTCATTTTTGAAAAATTTTTTGAGTTGAAAAAAGCTGCTTTGGCTTCTTGGTTGTTTTTTTTAGCTTCAACACGCCATGTTGTCAGTCTTTCGTCGTGATATAACCATCAGAATTGTCACCCATACAATCATCTTCATCTTTCTCATCGTTATCTTCATCATCACCATCACCTTAATCACCATCATTGTCATCTTCATCTTTTCAATCACTATTTTTATCATCAGCATCTTTACTATCACCAAAACCACCACACCACCATCATTATCATCTTCACCACCATCGTCGTCATCTTCATCACCATCGTCGTCATCTTCATCACCATCATCATCATCCTCACCACTATCATCGTCATCTTCATCACCATCATCGTCATCTTCATCATCTTCTTCACTATCCTCATCATCACCATCTTAACCACCTTCACCAACATTAGAACGAAACTCTCTTTGACTCACTGGAAGACATCTTTAACGGCAGCGAAGGCAAGTTGGTCCACAAAAATTTCATCTACTCATTTGACGGTCGAGATGTACTCAATGATGTTGTCTGGTCAGTAGAAATAGCAATGAATATGGTCAAAGTCTTAACATTTTAAAACTTTTTTTGAACTTTCATTCAGTAAAGTATTTTTAAAAAATACAACATGACATAACATGACAAGCTGTGACATAATCAAGTTAGCCTTAAAACGTGTAGTAGTAATGTAGGATGAGTATATTAGTAGTAATTGTTGTATTAACGCTGTAACTACAATAGTGTAAGTTATAGTAGTAATTTTAAGTTATTTGGTTACAGTAAATGAAATAGATTTTTTTACGTAGTAATATAATACATTTTAGGCCTTACAAGTACGTCTGGCACGGATCTGATAAGTACGGATATCAAAAACCGGAAAATGAGACATGCAAGTACTGGAGTAGTTCGGATCCTGATAAGTATGCAATGGTGGGAAATTTGAGTAGGAAGAGAATACTATCGGCGGATAAGTTGAGCTGCTGGCAGAGGTTTGCCCTACTCTGCTTGGAGATCAGTCAAAATAATGGAGTTCTGCTAGGAAAGAAATGATTGGTTGGTCGTTTGACTGGCTGGTTGATTCTTGATTGTTAGTTGGTTGATTTAAATGTTGATGACTTGATGATATAATTGGTTGGCTGTTTGATTGTTTGTTGACTGGTCGACTGGCTGATCGGTTGTCGTATGAATGCTTTCACGATTGGTTGGAAAGTTGCCAGGTTGTTTTTCGACTGGCTGGTTGGTTGGTAAACTAGTTACCTGATTGGTCACACTCGACTATTTGATTGAGAACAACGATAATTAAATTTAATAATAAACGATGAATAATAATATGACGATGGTATTCATTCACTTAGCCTGGAGCTTCACAGAGGGTCGTGTGAATGAATATTTTAGTGCTTCGCTTTGAAAGTGAAACAACAAATAACGAAAATGATGATTGTTGATTTGAATCTTTGATTAGTTTAAATCCTTAGTTGTTTTTAATTTTTGGCTGTTTTGAATCTTTGATTGTTTTGAATCTTTGGTTAAGTTACTTGGAAATTTTGTTTTTTATATGTCATTATATCAACTGACCGTATTAATTTGTGAACGTTTAAAGTTTAAAAAAAAAATTGAAAAAGTCAGTAGTAGTAGTAGTAGTAGTAGTAGTAGTAGTAGTAGTAGTAGTAGTAGTAGTAGTAGAAGAGGGTAATAGTAGCAGTAGTGGTAGTAGTAGTAATAGTAGTGACGGTAATAGTATAAATTAACCATCAACTTCATTTTTAAAATGTATCCCATAAATTATTTCATTACAAAATTATCGTCGTCATCATCATCGTCGTCTTCATCTTTGTTGTCATCACCGTCGTCACCATCATAATCTAATCATTATAATTTGTTATCATTCTCAAAACAGTCATCATTATTAATGACCAACTCTCACCAAAACTCATCACTTTATTTTCATAAGAGATAACATAACATCAAAAAAATTTAATAAAAATAATAATAATAATAAATGACCATTTCCCTAATTAAACAATATATATATATATATATATATATATATATATATATATATATATATATATAACACATAGATATGCATATATAAATGAATACTGAAAATGATTTATTTCTTTTCAAATTAACGATTGAATGAATAAATGAAGAATGGACCGTGCAAATGAATGAATGAAAGAAAGAATGTATGAATGAATTAGTAAGTGATAGATGGACTAAGAAAAAAGCGATAGAAGGTATAAGCGAAAGAAAAAAAGGAATAAAGGAATTATGGTGTAAATGGAAGAGTATGAAAAATGAATGATTAACCAATTAATATCTGTGTAAAATAGAGAGAGAGAGAAAGAGAGAGAAAGAGAGAGAAAGAAAAAGAAAGAGAGAAATGTGTGTGTGCGTGTTAGTAGCGACAAAGCGAGAAATGTTCAAAGCCTCGAGATAAACCTAGTGACATTCCTTGTGAAATATCTTTTGATGGGGTGCGATCCATATTTTGTTTCAACGACTTCATCCGAGATACTTGAATACTGAAATACTAACACGAGATTTCATAGCTATCCATATTTTAGTTTGGACGATTGGATGTGTGATGTACTAAATATAACTAATGTCTAAACTTCAAAATCAAATTATACCTCTGCAATAGCGAGAGACAGAACTACCTCAGAGACAAAACAAACATTCGACTTACCATCCCACATAAATGGTGTGATTTTTTTGAAACATGGAGATTTTACTATTCGACTGTTCAAGTTATATGTTGAGGGATATGAATGAATTAATGAGTGAATGAATGATTAAACGAACAAATAAATAAACGAATGAATAAATGAATGAACGAACGAACGAACGAACGTTCATGTGTATAGTAATGCGGGCAATAAAAAACGTCATTCCGTGTTAACGATTGTACCATCGTAAAAGTAGAGGAATGGATTTCAATTGAATTTGAAAAAAATTTGCTACAGGTAAAACATAAGAGAATACACTAACACACACACATACATGCACACATATACACACACATAAATACATACATACATACATACATACATACATACATACATACATACATACATACATACATACATACATACATACATACATACATACATGCATACATACATACATACATACATACATACATACATACATACATACATACATACATGCATACATACATACATACATACATATATACATACATATATACATACATACATACATACATACATACATACATACATACATACATACATACATACATACATACATACATACATACATACATACATACATACATACATACATATATACATACATACATACATACATACATACATACATACATACATACATACATACATACATACATATATTCATGCACGCATCTCATTCATGCAAACATTTTAAAGAACTCAAGTTGACGCTTGTTGTATATTTTCGATTAGTTAGGCAGGCATGCATTTTATGATTTAATTAATTTTTTATTAACAAATAGGTTAAAAAAATAATAAATAAGCAAAGATAATAAATAAACAAAAAATAAACAGATTAATTGATTTATAAGCTTACGAAAATATAACTTATTCATCTTGATGTGGATTTAAGCTAAGTTAGTACCTTATAAATAAATTTTAATATATTTTTATTATTAAAGATAATAATAATAATAATAATAATAATAATTGATAAATATATAATATATACAAAGGTAATACATACATTCATACATACGTACGTACACTCACACATAATCCTTGTCTAACTTTCTTTCTAATAAATAAAATCAATCAATTGTAAGAAATGTAAATTGTTTATAATATTGTTAATAAATAAAACACACACACAAACACATACACACACATACATACACAAACACTCATACAAACACACACAAACACTTTTTTTTATGGTAATCGGATATTAAATATAAACATCGTTAATTTTAATGTTGAGGATTTCTTTCGTGTTTTTATTATTTTTTATGAGCTTGTGTTTGTGTGTGTGTATGTGTGTGTGTGTGTGTGTGTGTGTTGTGTGTGTGTGGTTGTGTGTGCTTATTTAGACAATTATGAAATAATCATCGCTACCCTTCCGGTATGTTTAATCTTCCTCCTAAATCTTTTCAGTTAACATCGTCATTACAAAAACCCATTAAAAAAACTGATTATGACGTCATCATTGGAACGAGAACAACGATGACGATGTGATGAGGATGATGATGATGATAATGATGCGGCAAAAAAATCCAAGCAGCATGCCACCGAGAAACTACCTCAGAACCTCATCTCCACACTCGCCTACCTCAACAAGCATCATCATCAGCACCGTCATAACCAACGCCATCGTCATCATCACGGTCACCATCGTCATCATCACCACCCTGGGCAGTTGTAGTAGTAGTGGTAGTAAGAGTGGTAGTAGTAGTGGCAGTAGTAGTAGCGGTTGTTGCGGCATGGCCGTCAGTCATGCTACAAATGAAATGAATAAAATTAATGACAATATAAACTCATCTAGAGATGGATTGAGAAGAATAAGACTCGCTCTTGCCGGAACTTTATCTACTTCCGGCAAAATTTCATCATCTGTTTCCGGCGAAAATTCATCAACTTCCGCTAAAATTTTATCATCTTCCGGTTAGTCAGATTTATTATTCGTAATCATTTTTTTCGAGAATTTTTGTTGTATTGTCGTTGAATGCAAATATTTAAAAAAAACTGGCTCTCGTTGGTGTCATTACGGTGGTGATGATAATGATGAAGAAGATGCTGATGATGATGATGACGATGCTGATGACGATGATGATGACGATGATGATAATAGTTACTACGATGTTGATGATGATGACACTGGTGATGGTGTTGATGAAATGGACGATCGTGAATGATCATAGTCGATATAACGTTATTTCACGCTACCACCTTGTTCCACTTTGCAGAAAAAGAGAGACAGACAAAACAAAGAAATAACTTCGAACTAAACAAAGACACATTAGTAGACAAAAAACACACATACTTACACACATACATACACAAACATATATACACGCATACACGCACATACTAACACATGCACACAAACGAACATGCCAGCAGACAGGAACGACAAACGAATGACGACAAAGAGCACTTTGTTAAAGTTCGTGTTGCAATCTCCATCTGCATTTAACCGGAAAATGAAAACAATGACGTCATAGATCAGGCGTCGGCCGGGGCGGAGGGCTAAATAAAGCGGAAAAAAATAGAACCGTTTCTTTTCTCTTTCTATCTTTCTTCTTTCTCATTCTTTTTCTTGGTTTAGCTTTTATTCTTATTACGTGTCTTTTATTCCAGCTTTTTTTCTTTTTTTTCTTATTCGGAGTCTTTTATTTCCTCTTTTACCGACCTCTACTTCCGGCTTAATGTTTTTTAATATTCTGTTTCATATCCATCATTTTTATTCCATGGAAGAAGAATTTTGAAATTTTTTTTTACTTCGTTGCTCCTACAAGAATTGGCATTTCTACTTTATTGCCCTCTCAAATTTTAACCATGAAGAAAGTTGGGTTTAATTACAACCTTAAATGTTAAATGCATTATAAGCATATCATTCTTATTTCATCCTAATAACATAAATTAATTAATATCAAATATACACAAACGCACAAACACACACAAGCAAGAAAACAAGCAGATACACACTCACACACAAACATACAAAAATATACACATACATATAAATATATATATGTGTGATTGTGTGTATGTATGTATGTGTATGTATGTGTGTGTGTGTATGTGTGTGAGTGTGTGTGTGTCTGTGTGTGTGAATGTGTGTGCAGATATGCCAGGATATATGAATATTCTTAAATAAAAAAATGCTCTCATATAATTACATTGGTTTATTTATTACTTTACAGAACGTTCTACATAAATATAAATATACGGCGGAGACAAACACACCCACCTACACACGCACACACACACACACACGCACATACAAACATACGAACACACACATACACGTACACACAGACATACACACACACATACATGCGTGCATGAAAT